TTCTCCAATAGTGCAGTAACTTATATCTAGCATTCCATCTTCAATCTTTCCCCAGAAGAAAAGATCTGTGTTATTAAAATGTAGTGACTGGGCCATTATCATTCAGTAAGCTTTCAAAGATTGAATTTCAGACTTTCAAGTCCTGACCAATACCTTAAGCCAGGGGTGTCCAAACTTGGGAACTTTAAGACTTCTGGGAGTTGATGTCCACAAGTCTTAAAGTTCCCAAGTTTGGACACTCCTGCCTTAAGCACTGCAATGCATTAGTTAAGTACTAACCTGACAGAACTGGGGGTTCTTGTGAAGCCCTATTAACCTTAGTTTGGCTGCCAGAAAAGGTGAGGCCAGATTGTGGTACTTGCACCCCCCTCTTCCATCTAATTTTAGATCAGAAGTAGGTAATTTGTGGGGATTATCTTAAAGTTGTAAATGGCACATTAGTGATGCATTCAGATCACCAAAATGTGATTAGATTCCCTATGTTTCTTATGAACTGGGATGCTTTAAAAGATAAAACAAAGAGTTAATCTTAGTGGAATTTAATTCATCTTCTTTAGTCTTTTAGGGGGGAAATATTTTTAAAATTGCCTATAAGTGGTACAATCTCTGAATGTTCAGGGATCATAACAACACACCTTGTTGATTTTATGCAGCCTAATGGATTTTAAGTTCTCAATCCCAGTTTAGATCCAGTTATGGAGGCTCCTTAAATTAACCGAAGTTGTATCTTAAATGCCGGTGGTTCTTTTTATTTTTACCTATTTTATTCTAATATAAAGTATTAGATCAGTGATGTGATTCAACTGGTCTGACAACCAGTTCACTGAGCATGCGCTTTGAAACTATTATTTCTAATTAAATAATAGAAATTACAATGCTTTGCCCAATCTGCTTGGATTGTATGGGTTTGCTCCTTTTTAGTTCTTGTCATCTTGTGCAGTTCTTGTCATCTATGCCTTTTTAATTCTTTTGTTTGTGTCTCTTATTATGGTTTTAAAATATTTTTTTCCTTCTGAAATGCCCACATTTGTTGGGCATCAGAGAGCATAATCATATTAATCACTGTTGTCATCTAGATCTGAGATAGAATTATATGTCATTTTCGAATGAAAATGTATTTTAGATTATAAATTAATTGAAATAATATTTCCAAATTATAAATAGCTTAATTAAATTTTTCCCCCCAAAAAATGGTGACAGCAATCATACATTTTGTTCTTAACTTGTGCTTGCAAGTGGCTATATCTCTTGCAAAAATAAAACATTAGTCAGTACTGGTACTATTATGTGACAATTTAATACCTCCAACACAAAACCTCTGACAGGATTTTAGAGATTAAAATGGCTGTACCTAGCACTTTGGCTCCAGTTCTGGGAGGAACAACAGGTCCTTTTTCCAGATATTTTGGGTCAGTCCTCCTGTAGAGCTTGAGAAGTGAACAACGTTTGACTCAAACTGCTGATTTATCATGAAGAATCATGCTAGTCTTGTTCAGCATTTATTTCTTTTGTTTTATTTAGCCACTTTGCTTGCATGTCACACATTCCCAAAGGCATGTAATTGTGTTGAGCTTTGTTTACAGGCAATTACTGTCTTTTCCTGAAAAGAGTGAGAGTCAAGTAGGGCTTACTTCCTTCTAGCCAGACTACAATTGAGGCAAGGTATTGCCCAACCAAAGTCCAGCAGTCAACTGAGGTAGCAAGAAAGAGAAGAGGAAGTCAGGGAACTATTGAATCTGGATGCAAACAGTCTATATTAGGGTATAAGGCCATGATGGCGAACCTATGGCACACTTACCACAGGTGGCATTCTTAGCCATATCTGCTGGCACGCAAAATGTCATCTCCAGAGTGCATACACACACAGCCAGCTGATTTTTGGCCATCCAGAGGACCAGAGAAGATCATTTTTCATCCTGCCCAGGGTTCAGGAAAGCCTCCGGAACCTGGGGAGGGCAAAAATGGCTTCAGAGACTTTCCTGAAGCCTGGGGAGGATGAAAACTCCCTTCCATTGGGGGGGGGGGGGTTGTTCCATGCATGCATC